TGTCCTTACTGCAACAGCCTCGGAAATACAGGCTCAAAATGTAATAACCAGTAGTTAGACAATACTGTGTTTATTTACTACCTTATTTTACTACTATTTTGCTTTAATCCTATTCTGAAAACAATCTTGCAGTAGGGGCTGCTGCCCTGCAACACATAAATAAGTGTTGATAAAAGCTGATGGAGCTGGGCAGCCCTTTACCTTTGCTGCACACACACCGTGCAGTGACTGACCTGGATTTCTTTACAGCTTTGGAGACCTCATGTCAGACCAACATTCCATGGGATCTTGGTGTGTCTGCTTTTGTGCACAGGTGGGAAGACAAGGGGACAGTGTGGGATTAAGCTTCAGCCTGCATAAGAGAAGTGGGAGGAAGGGCAGATTGATCTGTAGCTCCCTGTGCATATGCCTGGCATATTTTGTCTAAAGAGATGGTTTAATCTCATTATATTTTGATGGCTTGGTAATGAAGTCATTTGTTCTCAGAAAGGGCCCTGTTCTGATGAGCCAGCAGGCAGCACCCGTATGAATTATGTTCATGGTTTGCCCTGCCAGCCAGGCCATCCTGCTCATCCCACTTTGTGGAAAACAGCCTCCCCCCCAGCTCCCTGAATGGCTCTTTGTGGCTCCACAGACTCCAACATCTCCTGTCCACCCACCACCCTGTTACACTCACTGGGGGTGGTGGGGTTGGGACATCCCCTGCACTTCCACAGGTTGGGTTTTGTCACCTTTTGGCTCCAAAAGCAGCTCCCTGGTCTCCATCAAAGTGCAGCTTCTCAGGGCTTTTCTACCTGTAAACACCAGCAATATCATGACCATGCCTGGGAGCATTTTGGTTTATTCCCTGTTATCAGTTGTTCAGCAACACGAGGATTTTTCCAGGTAGGGATCAGCCCAGAAGACAGCACCACAGACTGATGAGAGCATAGTCACCCCTCTGCCTCCCCCCATTCAGCCCTTGTACCCTGGGGGCTAGGAAAGCACTTGGAGGAGGAGGAGGGCAAAGAAATGAAAACTTGATTAATTCTGACACCTTGTGGACAATTAGCAGATAAAGATGAAGGCTGAGGGGGAACCTGTAGGTGCTGTGGGCTCCAGCATGGGCTCTGGCAAGGAGCAGCCCAGCCCTGGGCTCTCTGGGTGCCCTGGGAGAGGGAGAAACCCTCCTCTCTTGGGAGACCTCCTAGTGGCCTTCCAGTATCTGAAAGGGCTCCAGGAAAGCTGGGGAGGGACTTGGGACAAGGGCAGGGAGGGAGAGGACAAGGGGGAAGGGATTAAAACTGGAAGAGGGGAGTTTTAGATGAGACATGAGGAGGAAATTCTTTGCTGTGAGGGTGGTGAGAGCCTGACCCAGGTTGCCCAGGGAAGCTGTAGCTGCCCCATCCCTGGCAGTGTTGAAGGGCAGGTTGGATGGGGCTTGGAGCAGCCTGGGCTGCTGGGAGGTGTCCCTGCCCGTGCAGGGGGGTTGGATCTAGATGATCTTGAAGGAACATTCCAATACAAACTGCTCTATGATGATGCTGTGCTGCCATCAGTCAGGGCAGGCTGGGTGCTGGTGTCAGGCTGTGCACCCAGCATCACTTTCCCTTGCAGCAGACACATCCTGCCCACATGGGCTCTGGCAAGGAGCAGCCCAGCCCTGGGCTCTCTGGGTGCCCTGGGAGAGGGAGAACCCCTCCTCTCTTGGGAGACCTCCTAGTGGCCTTCCAGTATCTGAAGGGGCTCCAGGAAAGCTGGGGAGGGGCTTGGGACAAGGGCAGGGAGGGAGAGGACAAGGGGGAAGGGATTAAAACTGGAAGAGGGGAGTTTTAGATGAGACATGAGGAGGAAATTCTTTGCTGTGAGGGTGGTGAGAGCCTGACCCAGGTTGCCCAGGGAAGCTGTAGCTGCCCCATCCCTGGCAGTGTTGAAGGGCAGGTTGGATGGGGCTTGGAGCAGCCTGGGCTGCTGGGAGGTGTCCCTGCCCTTGCAGGGGGCTGGATCTAGATGATCTTGAAGGAACATTCCAATACAAACTGCTCTATGATGATGCTGTGCTGCCATCAGTCAGGGCAGGCTGGGTGCTGGTGTCAGGCTGTGCACCCAGCATCACTTTCCCTTGCAGCAGACACATCCTGCCCACGGCCCTGTACCCGAAACAGCTCCATTCAGAGGCCAGTTTGAGTCAGCAGCCTGAGCCTGGTTATTTTGCTGGCTGATGTTGTGATCTGGCTCTTAACTGTCACATGAAATGTAAATAAGGGCCAACTGCATCTCGGGACCTCAGTAAGCACATTGGCTGTTATGACTCACTGAACTGCAGCACATGTGCCCACTGCTCAGCAGTTAGATAGAAGTGTGTCCTTAAAATAGACCATTTTGCAAATGTACCTAATCCCCCACGGTTTCTGTGGCCATCCAGAGCTTGTGTTTTGGGGAAGCAGCAGCCCAGTGGCCTAACCTTGACGTCCAAGGGAAACCAGGCAGCCAGTCACTTTGAAATGGCTCTTTAATGGCTTCTTGGCAAAGTGAGAGGTGACTTGGAAGGACAGAAATGGGGTGTCATGAGCACTGCTCTCACCAGAGAGAAGGGCAAAAGTGTGTCCAGCTAGAGCTGCACAAGAACCAGGTGGAAAGGGGTCACAAACATCTCGAGCAGCAGAACTTCACAGCACCCCAAGCAATGGGGTGTAACCCAAACTTACTGCTCTGAGAAGCAGCACCCTGAGGGAACACAGCAGGCTCAGCTCCATCTCCTGTCAACTCCCTGCCCCAGTGCCCTGAGGAGCAGCAGGAAGGAGAGCAGGAGGCCTCCAACATTGCAAATCAGACCAGATGCATCTTCCCCCTTGTTACCAGTGCCCTTTGAGCCCTCCTGCCTCCTCAGGGGCATGTTCTGGCCTTGGCACAGAAGCCAGGCTGTGGTGTCATGGGATGGGGGCAGCTGGGGACACCCCAGCATGGAGCAGAGCATCTTGTCCCAGAGCTGCCATGGGGTGAGGGTTACTGGGAGCAAACTGGAGGGACAAAACCAGCCTGGGAGGTTTGCTCTGAAGCACCCGGCCTGGGTGTTCTCAGGTCACCTTGGCGAAGGAGGGGGATCAGATGGAGGGTTTCTCAACTGCAACGTTTCTTTGAAGCTGGTGCAGCTGAGGGATGGAGCAGCTGCTACAGCTGAGGGTGCTGCAGGAGACAGACAAGCAGACCTTGCTTTTTGAAGAGCAGGAGAAAACAAAAGTCAAGGTGAAAAACAAAACCAAGGAAGTCAGAAGCAGCGTCTGACCGGGGAGACACAGGAGCAGGGTTAGGTGGCCCTGCTTGGCACCAGCCAGAGCCATGGCACACACAGGGACGGTGGCCTGTGGCCCATCCTGGGACCTCCACACATCTGGGGGCTGAGCTCCAACCTGGAGCAGAGTCTGCACAAGCTGCCAAGCCCAAGAACAGCAACGATTAACAAGCTGAACGAGCAGCTCTCGGTGCTCTTTGTCACTGGAGAGCCCTAAAAGCTGCTCTTCTTTTGTGCCATGAAGGCAAAAACCATCAGTACCAGGGGACGAGTTACTAAGATCCACACTTTTTCTCTCAATGCCCCTTGCCAGTGGTGCAGGAAATGAGTCAGGAGGAGTGAATCATGTCTGCAGTGCCACACAAAACAGGAACCTGGTATCAAACTGTCAGACACAGTTGGGGATCACCCTAAGAAGAATTATAACCCATGGGGAAATACCCCATAAAACCAACCTCCTCCTGGCTGGGTTGCCTGACTGGAGACACGTCCCAGCTACAAAAGCTGACAAAAGAAAGATGGCCCAACAGTTTAACATGTGATCTTTGGCCATCCCTACTCATCTGAGTCAAGGGACATTGGAAGCATCTAAGAAAACATTTTCTCTTTGAGAAGGTGGGCCTGTGGGTCCCCTGGTGGGGTCAGGAGCCACTGGCACAGTGACTACCACAGCAGGTGTGACTCAGTGGTTGGCACCAGCACTTTGCTCATTGGGCCATGTGGTTGCTCACACGTAGAACCTGGGCTGTGGCACATCTTTCTTCCATGTATTCCCTCCCCCAGCAGGAAAGGACAACTCTTTGCCACCAACTCTCCAGCAGGTCATCTCTGCACTGGGACACCAACACAGCCCTGTGCCATCTGCTGATCTGGGGAGAGTTGTCCCAGTGTAGAGTTATCCTGGTGTAGAGTTATCCTGGTGTAGAGTTATCCTGGTGTAGAGTTGTGCCGGTGTAGAGTTATCCTGGTGTAGAGTTATCCTGGTGTAGAGTTATCCTGGTGTAGAGTTATCCTGGTGTAGAGTTGTCCTGGTGTAGAGTTATCCTGGTGTAGAGTTGTCCCAGTGTAGAGTTGTCCCAGTGTAGAGTTGTCCCGGTGTAGAGTTGTCCCGGTGTAGAGTTGTCCCGGTGTAGAGTTATCCTGGTGTAGAGTTGTCCTGGTGTAGAGTTATCCTGGTGTAGAGTTGTCCCAGTGTAGAGTTGTCCCGGTGTAGAGTTGTCCCGGTGTAGAGTTGTCCCAGTGTAGAGTTATCCTGGTGTAGAGTTGTCCCAGTGTAGAGTTATCCTGGTGTAGAGTTGTCCTGGTGTAGAGCTGTCCTGTCAGAGCGTTGTTGGTGGAGACATGTCTTAGACTCCTACCCAGAGACAAAACCACAGAAGACCCTGAGCTGCCACAAGCAGAGGCAGCATCTCCTGCTCCTCAACCAGCAGAGTGGCACAGCTCCACCCCTGCTCATGGCACTCTCAGGCACTGACACAGCAGGGATGGTCCCTCCCATTTGCACAAAGGGTTGGGGCACCACTGAAAGGGCATCTTTGAAGAAGACAGCAGGATGTTTTTTTACACACATTTCCAAACCTCTACCTTTGTGCTGAATAGTCAAGTAGGAAAAGCAAAGGTGCATTTCTCCACCCCTGCAGTGCCTTTGCCTTTACAGCCCCTGTTTCTCTTCTCCCCAGGAATGACCCACCTGCCTCACACCACCACAGATGTTCCCAGCAGCCCCGTCATGACGCAGACCAACCAGAACTGCTCCAATCAGGATATAACATTCAAAAACAGCCTCTACGCCACCACCTACACCCTCATCTTCATCCCCGGCCTCCTGGCCAACAGTGCAGCCCTCTGGGTCCTGTGTCGCTTCATCAGCAAGAAGAACAAAGCTGTCATCTTCATGATCAACCTGGCCGTGGCCGACCTGGCCCACGTCCTCTCCCTGCCGCTGCGAATATACTATTACATTAACTCCTCCTGGCCCTTTGGGACGTTCCTTTGCCTGCTGTGCTTCTACCTGAAGTACCTCAACATGTACGCCAGCATCTGCTTCCTCACCTGCATCAGCATCCAGAGGTATTTCTTCCTCTACCAGCCCTTCAGAGCCAAGGACTGGAAGCGGCGCTACGACGTGGCCATCAGCGCCGGGGTCTGGCTGCTGGTGGGGGTGGCCTGTTTGCCTTTCCCCATCATGCGTAGCCACGGCTTGGCCAACACCACCAGCACCTGCTTTGCAGACCTTCACGTCCGGCACATCGACAGCAAAGCGGCCACGGTGCTGATGATGGTCACAGCCGAGCTCTTCGGCTTCGTCGGGCCCCTTGTCGTCATCTTGTTCTGCACCTGGAAAACCAAGGACTCTCTGCGGGGCTTCCAGATCCCTCTGCAGAACAGCAGTGAGAGGAGGAAGGCCCTGAGGATGGTGTCCATGTGTGCCATCGTGTTCTGCGTCTGCTTCGTGCCCTATCACATCAACTTCTTCTTCTACATGCTGGTGAAGGAAAATGTCATCACGGACTGCTTCCTGAGCACCATCACCCTCTACACCCAGCCCTTCTGCTTGAGCCTCGCCAGCCTGGACTGCTGCTTGGATCCCATCCTCTACTTCTTCATGACTTCAGAGTTTCAGGACCAGATAACCAGGCACAGCAGCATGGTCATCAGGAGCCGGCTCATGAGCAAAGAGAGCGCCTCGTCCATCAAGGAGTGACAAGAACATTGGCTTAAAAGAAGGAAGAGGTTTCATAGGAGATCTGGGACTGTTCTGTGAGACTTGGTTACTCCATTGTGGAAGATCCTGGAAGTTTACTGGGGGGGAGTTTTGTGGCAGTGGACAGGATATGAAACTCTAAGACCAACGTGATGGAAGGTGATGAGCAATCCAGCCGGTGTGACTGCACCTACCACCAGGTGAAGCCCCAGCAGGGCTAGAAAAGCCACAGGAAGGAGCAACAAAGTGTTTGCTAGAAAATGGTGGAAACATCCCAGCAGCTCTTCTTCAATCTTCCCACCTCCATGGTTCTATGCTGAAGCCAAAGGCAATCCCACATCCGTACCCAGACACCTGCTGAAGTGTCTTCTCTGCTGAACACACACGATGCATGAAAGAACCTGAAAATGGCCAGTAACAAATGGCTTTTGGGTCTTTGCATCTGAGGTGCAGAGGCAGGAAGGTTGGCAGCTCGTTTCAGCACAGCAGCCCTGGTCACCCCACTTGGCTCTGCTTCACACTGCCCACCCCCCCCTCACCCCCACTCTGCTTCATTATTTCCTCACCCCCCAGCTCTGAGTTTGCTCCTTAATTGCTGACACATCCCAGAACTCACACCTACAGCTCTCCAGAGAGCAGGACCTTCCCTTGCTCTGAGTGACTTCCTTCCCCTCTGAGATGCCCCTGGGAACAAGGGGGGCATCAGCACATGGCCTTGACCTCTGGACCTCAGGGGGCAGAACCACAGGTCTCAGCATGGACACCAGTTGGTTTGATGACGATGCTGATGCTGCTGGTGCCTTTCAGGTCCTCACCTTCTGCGTGTGGCTTCTTCACCTCAGAGGTACCTGCAAAGGATCCACCCCACGGAAATGTCTGGTCCTTGGGTTTGATTGACACCATTTTTAAAGAAGAGAGGTGTCCTTGCCAAGGTGACTCACTCCCAGGGCACAGGCTGGTTTCTTCAGCTAATGATTCAGTGTGATTTTTTTCCACCAGGTCCTCTCGTGATCTTCGTGTTTACATTTTTAGAACTTCATCAGCCATGAAGCTATGAAAAGCAGTGACAAGCAAGGATGTCACCTACCCCTTATTTGAAATCAGTGACAGCTCTTTGGCCAAGTTCACCTGCTTTGTGTCACTTCAAGGGTATCATCATGGTACCCAGGGATGATTTGGGCTGAACAGGGGCACTGGTTTTATTTGATTGCCTTGGAAAACTTGTGTTCTTCAAAAGGAACAATTCCCAGTAAGCACCAGTGCCAGCATCTTGCTACAAAAACAAGTACCAGAAACACTTGCCACATTCATTGTAAACCTGACTACTCAACTCCACTTCATAACACTTGAACTCCACTAATTTTTTGGGGCATATTATGTTTTCCCACTTGACTGTTTTACAATCAAATGGAGGATAAGTAAACAGGTTAAAATACCCCTTGCACTGGGGTTCCTCTAAAAAGCAGCAAAGAAAACAGAAAAAGAAAGAAAACTGAAAGAGGGGAGATTTAATTGAGACATCAGGAAGAAATTCTTCACCTTGAGGGTAGGAAGGTGCTGGAACAGGTTGCCCAGGGATGTTGTGGAAGCCCCTGGAGGTGATGAAGGGCAGGTTGGATGGGGCTTGGAGCAGCCTGGGCTGGTGGGAGGTGTCCCTGCCCATGCAGGAGGGTTGGATCTAGATGGTCTTTAAGGTCCCTTCCAACCTTCACCATTCTATGATTCCATGTTACTAAAGACAGAGGGTTCCTGCAGGATTCAGGTGAGAACACTGCAGAGAAAGCAAAGTGTGTCCAACTGAAGGCACCAGAAAGGTTCTCTCTGCTTCACCTGGCAGGTGGTTATGCCAGTAACACATGTTGATGCTCAGCTACACAGTTAAGCCTCCATAATTCTTTTGGTCAATGTAGCAGTTTTCTCACAGGCTGGACACTGTGGGACATTGGCAGTGAAGAAGACTTGAGTTTCAGGAGTTGTTTTGAGGATTTTTGCAGCTTGAGCAGCCAGCATGTGGCTGGGAGCTGCTCACCCTTCTCTCATGCAATTCTCCATCCATCAGGTGAAAACAAGTTATGGCAATGATGTAGCTTGTCCTGTATGTTTCTTTCCAAAAACTGATGCTTAAAAAAGAAATAAATGCATTGTTTAAAACATCAGCTGAGTTTCCCAGTTATCATTTACACCCAGGAAGCTGAATGGGATCACTCCTCCTTGAATCAAGGAGTTCAAGTGATGGAGAGCATCAACTTCTGCTATTCTGAACAGATTCCTGGCTTGGCTACAGAAAGGTTTTCACCCCACTCTAATATCAGTGGTGGGGTTTTTTTGGTTGGGTCATTTCTCATTGTTCTTAAACTACAACCATTACCTTGGATGTAGAGGAATTCTGGGGAGAGAAAGGTCCTCTGTGGGAAAGCTGTGCTGGTGGGTGAGAAGGGGTGACTGTTACCACACTTAGATGCAGGCAAGACCACAAACCATCTCTATCTGACAAGAATTTTTCAGATCCAAAGCTATACAACTTCAAAAAGCACTCACACCATTGCCAACAAGATTGCTAAAGCAGAAATCAGTCACTATTGTCCCCTGTATAACATTAAAACACACTCCCAGCACAGGAATATCTGTTCCAACATCTCAAGGTCCAAAGACTTTCCCAGCCTTAACCAGGAACGTGGTGGCTCCATGAGGGATAACAATCCCTGCTACCACGATGGCAACCCCAAGCCCCTCAGCTGCTCACACTGTCCCGTGTGTCTTCCTGCCTCACTCACCCTCTGGACTCCCTCAGACTGTCTTTTTTTACACACTGCAGCCCCAACCTGGGAGGGAAAGCCTCAGCACTTGCAACCTTTCAAGTCAAATGTCTTTGACATCCAGGAGGTGAGATAACTAGGTCTGTTCTGGTATGTGGGAAGGTGTACTGGTTTGGGCTGGGTTAGAGTTAAACCTGCTGTGTGGGGCTTAGTTACCAGATGGGGTTAAACCACCACAGCAAGTTAGCCAAGGTGGTCACGATGGTGAGGCAGCCTAAAGAGCATCAATCTGAAGTAAAACCAGATCATGAGCAACTTGTAATTTTCTGAAAGCACCTAGCAAGTCAAAGACCATCAGGCCTCCACAGACCCAGCTGTGAAACTCAGAGCTTCTAGTTCTCCAAAACCTCAGCAGTGTAACTCAGGAGAAGACTGGACAAATCCAGTGGTACTGCCCAGGTGGACAGTATTTCAGCTGCCCTCATGGCTGGGAGGTACTGGGAGCAACACCAGAGCTGGGGCTGCCTGTGCCTGCCAGAGCTCTCACACTTTCCAAAGGCATCATGTGCCCAGCTCCTCTTCCTGTTATTCACCCCCTTTCCTGTGGCCATAAGAGACGTTGATTATTTTGCTGAGAGGAAATATAATCCAGGAGCAACATCATGAAATTATCTCTTGTGCTGCTCCCACTGCCCAGACCCACCAGAGAGAAAACAAACAACTTCATCCTTCTTGCACACGTTGAAGTCTTTTAGCAGAGATGCCCTAGAAAGGCAGGAGTTAACCAAGGGGAAAGGCTGCAGGTTTCTGAAGGATGGATCTGGAGAGCTTTGCTGGCCCCTGGTGCTGGAGGAACCCTGGGGCAGCCTCACCCTGAGGGGAACTGCTCAGAGGGGGAAACAGGGAGGAGATCTGCCCACCCCTGGGCAAAACCACAGCAGGGTTTCTTGTCCTTCTCTAGCACAAGCCATTCTCCTGTTTGCAAAAGAAAATGTGGGTTGGTTTGGGTTTGGTTTTTTTTGCAATGATCCCTCTTCTCAAGAAAACACCCTCCATGCTTGGCAGCAAATTCCTTTGGAAAGAAACCCCGTGGGATTTCCTGCCTTTCTGCAGCCTCAGGTTCTGAGCTGCAGGACCTTGGGAGTGCCTCAGCTGCCTGGTTTTTCCTTCAATGAAATTACCAGTTCCATGCACAAATAAAAACCAAACCAGGCTGCAAATGCAGGAGAACAGCCCGAGAACTAAAAGCCAGCTCAAAACCATGAAAAACCTTTGTTGCATCTGACAGACTTTGGGGCTGTGACTGGAGCATTTTCACCAAAGACACTGGGTCTGTGGATTACACAAAGGCTTAGCCAAAAAAAGGGAGGGAGTGATTGATTTCTTTTACATCTGAGAACTGTCAAAGCTTCCCCAAAATGCTGCTCCTGTGCAGGGTGAGGACTCTGAACACCTGAGACTCCCCCAGTCCCACCCACCGTGTGGTGATGGCTCCAGTCAAGCTGCAGCAAGTCTCTGCACCAGGGTGAGTTGCTTTGTGCAAGATCATCTCCTCCTCCTCCTCCTCCTGAAGGGTCCCCACTGTTTCATACATCCTTCAGGTGCATCCTGTCAGATATTTCTAAACACCAAGCACTGAAAGAGCTGCTGGTCATATGCATTTGGCCTGCTGCCCACAGGATACCAGGCTCGAGGCAAAGACAACCTTTATCTGGAGGCCTTAGATAAAGTCTCACAGTTATTTAAAAATTCCTTTGTCTCTTCTGCTTTTGAAAGTCTGACCTGGGTCTCAGCAACGAGCCAGGAGAGCTGAACAAAAATGTGCATGAAAGAGGGACAGAGAGGTCAGTTGGGATGGGGTGGAGTGAGAGGCTTGAGGTGTTTGTCAGTCCAGCAGCTTTTTGTGAGCAGGAAGGCTGTGATCTTCTGCAGAAAGCCCATCAGGAGAAGAGGAAGGACTTAAGGTGGCTGTGAACCCCGAGGCAGGGGTCTGACCCTCACCACAATGACACCCCTTGACCTCTCCTGCCCCAGCAGCCCTGCTGCAAACACACCTAAAAATAGGGCTGAGGCGGCTGGAAACGCTGGATGTGTCCTGTGGACACAGAGGTAGGATGTCCTAGACAGGATATCCTGATGGAACAGTCATTTCACTTTGGGATAGACCTTTAACCTCTGGAGAGGGATGGGGCAATGTTCCAGGCTCCCTTCCGTGGGTCTCTGAGTGCTTCAGAAATACATGAGCATGGCTCCTTCTCCCAAGGATCAGCAGAAGCTGATGGAAAAGATGCACAAGAGGAAAACGTGGCATGGTGAACAGCTCTTGGATCTTCCCAATCATGTTGCTCTCAGCTGACACAAGAAGCATGGGGCTACCTACTTGCTGGCAGGCTGTGTTCATGGGATGGATAAGCAAGTGGCAATGAAGAATCCCATAGAGAAGTCTGGAAAGGCTGGTACATAAACTGCTCCTGCCCTTGCCTTCACGTGGATGCTGACCGATGTAACGTCATCTCCACTGACCACAGGACACACCGGGTCAAGGATAGTCTTCTCTGCTCTCTTAATTACTGTTGTGAAGCTCCACTTCACAGCACCCAGGTCAGCATTTCTGCTAGAATGGAGAAACCCCAGCAGTGGCACAGGCAGCAGAGCCAGTGACTTGAATCCTGAGAGAAAGATGCACCCTTGATCCCAGACCCTGAGCTGGAGACTCATTCTGCAATTAAAGGTTCTAATAGCTTCCTTCTTTCATTTCTCTTCCACTGATGTTCCTTTAATTTTGCAGGGTCATAGGACCAATTACAGAAAACAGATGAACAGAGCAAGAGCAGCTGTATTTATACCTTAAGCTACAGTAAGAAAGGGAAAGATGCCAACAAGCCTTATTGCCTTGGTGAGCCCTCGTCTGGGACACTGTACATCAAACTGTTCAGCTGGAAATCAGGCAGCTCCCAGGTTACACTCCTGTAAATGCTTGCCAGTTGTCAGCAGCTCAGAAGGTTCTGCTTAGCAGGCAGTAAAGGAACTAAAAATTATATACATATATATATATAGGAAAGGAATTAAAGGAGGCAAAAAGAAATCGGGAACGAGGCACATTATGTTTAGGTTGGGTTTGGGTTTTTTTAAAAAACAATAGTATTTTGGGAAAACCTCCACCTTAAACACATCATTATTTCAGAAATAAAGTCCTCAGCTTTCGCTTACAGCCCTGATAGTCTGAGGCAAACCAAACTTCCCAGCAAATGAAGGAAAATTGCTGCCTTCCAGTAACTCCTGCTGGCGCAGCTTCCGAGCCGCGCTCGCTGGAAGGGGGTTTGCTTCTGGATCTTACAGTTTTCAGGCAGCAAATGCCAAGTGACTCTGAATAAAACCAGAAGCAGCTTGAGCGAGGGTCACCCAGTGTGACTTGTGTGAAAAAAAAAAAGAGGGAAGAAATCCACGTCTGAGATCTCCATCCCAGGGCACTGGGGGCAAACAACGTCATCCCCTTTTAACGTCACCGCCGTGCAGGGTTTGTGTGGCGAAGAGAAACAAAATACAGGATTTCCTGTTCTGCAGCCACTGCACGGGGCTGCAGATGCCAGCAGGATTCCAGGGCTCCAAGAACACATGTGGAAGTTTAACGAGGAGTGGCTGGGGCTGGGATGGCTGAGGCACGGGGGAGGAAGGAAAAGCAGAAAGCTCACACCGGCTGCTCCCTAGCATGGATGTCACCCCCCTGAAGGATGGGACTCTCGGGAAGGTAAGCTGGATTTCTGCTCTCTTTCCTTCAGGAGATGGAAGCTGGGGCAGTTTTGAGCAAGGTGGTCACTTTTTTAAAGCAGGGTTCTTCTAGAGAGCTGGTCAGGCAGGAGCTGGTGCCACACGAAGCACCAGCAGCCCTGCCCGTGCCCACGGGTCAGGGTCTCACTCGGCTCCCCAGGTGGGTGAGCAGAGCTCAGGGCAGCCCAGCAGGCTGCTGTGTCCACCAGCATGTGGGGGAAAAGCCTCTTTAACCTAAAATACCTCAGTGCTGTCACTGCTGGCAGAAATTGCCACAACCGGCCAGCTTTGTTTACCCATTTCCTATTAGTGCTTCAATTAAACAAACAAAATGATTGCTTGAAACCCAAGTGCCAGAAAAACTCCTCTGCTTCAAACCAGGAGCTTCTTCCAAGCCCAAAGTGGACTTCTTTTTCCTAGACTTTCTCCCTCCAGCATCCCAGGGGCTGCTCTGCCCCAGCCCCAGGGCTCCCCAGGCTGGGGGGGTTCTCCCCATCTGGGTGTGCAGCTTTAGCCCAGTTTGTCCCAGCAAGCCATGGAAAAGCTGAGTTTGCTAGTGGATCTGGGAGCAGTGAACACACCAGAGCAGTGATGTGGGGCTGGGTGGGGCACAGGGTGATTCAGAGGGGCCAGGACATTTCCAACACCCACAGCCACACGCTCCTCCAGCACCAGATACTGCTCAGACTCAGAAAAAGAATTTTAAAAGGAACACAGGTATTTTAACAGCTGCCTTAACCTCCTAATTAATTGCAAAGTTACTGGATGGTTAATGAATTGCAGTGCTACATCCACAGCTCCTCTGGCAGGGATACTGGTCTCCCCTCTGTCTTTGCAGCTGGATGAAACTCAGCTTTGCCACTTAAAAAAAGCCTCCCCCCCCACATGGATGGAAAAGGAAAACAGTCAAGGGATGGCAGGGAGTGTTTAGTACAAGATTTATAAAGTTGATGAGCAACAGCCCTACCAAAGCCCACAGAAGCATCTCTGCTCCAACAACAGCTTCACTGATGGCAAAGCACAGGGGCAGCTGGAGGGGAGGGGAGAACTGAAAAGCAGTAATAAATTAAAAAACCCACCTCTTCAGGAAGTGTGGTAGTGAATGAGCACAGGTCAGCAATGACTCTGCAGGGAGCTCCCTCTGGTTCTCCTGCCAGGTGCCCAGGCAAGGGCTGTCACCTAGAAACTGAAGTGCTGGGGATCAGGAGTGACACCCAACCCCCCCACTGAGAAACAGGCACTCCTGGGCTCCCAGGGACAGGAAAAAACTGAAGATCACCAGCAAGGAGGCTCCTCATGGTCTCACCTGCAGGGACAGGGTTTGGGATTTGGGCTGATACACGTGGCAGGGATGTGGCAGTGGGACAGGGACACCAGGTGCTTCACAATCCTTTCCATACACCCACAGCAGCAAGTGCCACCTCTGTCACTGTAAGACTGTGACCAGAGCTGGGAACAGCTGCATCCTCCAGATTTTCCCACTGTTTCCCCTCATTTTCTGCAGGGATGTAAAGACAAATTGTCCTGCCACCATTTTCCAGGGTTAAATAGACTCAGTGTAAAGAAGACCAGCCAAGAGCAGGGCCAGGACCAAGCAGAAGCCCCTCCTGAGTTTTCAGGCAGGTGAGAAGCTCATGGAGATGCTGCAGGGGCCAGAGGATTTTCTTGCCCACTATCCCCTCATGACAGATGTCCCCACTCACCTACCTTGCCCCAGCTTGGTGGGCACATCAGAAACCTCTGCCCCAGGGCTGTGGGCCCAAGAGCAGTCAGCAGCCAGAATGTGCAGCCAGGATTTCCTTCCAGCCTTGCTTTTTTTTTTGCAGCTAAACCTTGGAGAAATAAGGGAAAGGGAGAAGGCAGGAGGGAAGGGCTGTTTGGAAAGGAGGGGGCAAGCACTGCACAGAGATTGGGGTAAATCCACCAACCCTTCTCCCATCAGAGGTGAGGGCAATGGACAGGCAGCCCACAGGCTGCTGCCTGTGTTTTATAGATCTGTCTGTATTTATGTGTGTATTTAAGTATATAACCTTCATGATGAAGCTGGAAACATGGCAGCCCCTCTGAAGAGCTCCCAGGGGAGGAGGAGCAGGGTGGAGGAGCCATCACTCTGCTCCTGGAAGCACCACCAGGCTCTGTGCAGAAGCCCAGTCCCCTCCACAGGCAATTACCTGTTAGAAATCCATCTCCATGGCTAATGGTGGGGGAAACAGCACCACTGGCTGCTGCTGAATTAAAAACTGCTGGTGAGGGGCTTGGTGGCAACGGCAAGAGGTGCTCAGGGCTTTGCCAGCTCATGTTCCAGGCTCCTGGAAGGGAAGGGCAGGCTGCAGGGCACCTCACAGGCAGCCACAGGCTCTGTTTCCAAGGGGAAAATGGGAGGTTTGTTGCAGATGATGCTACAAGGCCCTTGGTTTGTGACCTGCTGCTGCCAAATTACCTCATCTTGAAAGAGCAGAACGTTCCCCTGTGGGCTCTGCTTCCCAAATCCATCACCTCCCTGGAGAGCTGGGTGAGCACCCCCTGACCCACCAGCACCCTCAGCTCTGGCTGGAGGAGGCAAAAGGTGTCCCTGGATGAACAGGATTTCTGCCCTGACTAAAAAGCACATCTGTTTATCTTCCTTCACGTCCTGAAGGATAATTTCTGTTGCTACAACACGATGCCTGCACAATGTGCTGGAATTGAGTTAGCAGGACCAGCAGAGCCACTGGTGTGTTTGGTGGTGATGAGCTCACAGATCCAGCCCTGGGTCTGGAGCCAGAGCTCCAGGAGGTCTGTCTGCACCTCTCCCACCAGCTGCCTGCCAGCAACAGCCCTTGCTGAGGCTGATGATTGCCCTTGCTGCCAGTTCCCATCAGACCACTACATGGATCCAAAAAGACAAGGTCTAGATCCATGGGAAGCTCCTGTTTATTTACAGTCCCCCTGGCATGGCTGGTAGACAGAGAGAGTGGTGGGAGCTGAGGAGAAAATAAGTGATAAAAGCAGTTCTGAAACCCCCTGGGTGGCTCCAGAAGCTCCCTGGAATTAGCAATGAAGAGACTGATGCTACAGAGCTCCGAGGCAACGTCGCTGTGGCAGCACCTTGGGGGGTGGGGGGTGAGATCTGCCCCCTCCCCAGCACACACACCAGCTCAGACAGGCCTGTGCCCCCAGCACACACACCTGCACACAGCTTCCCCTTTTGCACCAAAGAGCATTTCATAGAATCCCAAACTGGCTTGGGTTGAAGCTCAAAGATCACCTTATGCCAGCCCCCCTGCATGGGCAGGGACACCTCCCAGCAGCCCAGGCTGCTCCAAGCCCCATCCAACCTGCCCTTCAACACTGCCAGGGATGGGGCAGCCACAGCTTCCCTGGGCAACCTGAGCCAGGGTCTCACCACCCTCACACCAAAGAATTTCCTCCTCATGTCTCACCTCAATCTCCCTCTTCCAGTTTTAATCCATCCCCCCTTGTCCTCTCCCTCCCTGCCCTTGTCCCAAGCCCCTCCCCAGCTTTCCTGCAGGCCCCCATCTGGTACTGGAAGGCTCCCCTCCATGATGAGGGAAATACTGGAGAGGTTTTGGCTTGACAGCACCGGGTTTTGCCCCCTGCAGGAACCCTCCTCCCACCTGCATCGCCCCGTGAGCGAGAAGACTCAGCCGAGATGGAGACCAACGCGTCCTGGGGGAACTGCACCGCTCCCCAGATGTCCTTCCAGTCCACCCTCTACGCCACCACCTACACCCTCATCTTCATCCCCGGCCTCCTGGCCAACAGCGCAGCCCTCTGGGTCCTGTGCCGCGTCACCAGCAAGAAGAGCAAAGCCGTCATCTTCATGATCAACCTGGCCGTGGCCGACCTGGCCCACGTCCTCTCCCTGCCCTTACGGATGTATTACTACATCAACCACACCTCG